GTGGACGTTGCTGCGAAGTTTAAGTGCAGACTAACCACAGCCAAAAGCACTTTTTGCCTGCACTCCCTCCTTTCCGGTTGTCTCTGTCGCAGAGTGCGTGCTCCGCAGCGGAATTTCGGTATCGACACAAGTGCTGCACCGTGTAGATAGCCGGAGTATGGAGGCGGCACAGGGTATCACTACCCTCCAGCTCCGTTCCTGTGCACTTTGCATTTTCCAGTGGAAAGAGTGTGTGAGTGGAGAGAGTGATGCTCTGCTGCAGCTGAGGACCCTTTCACCTCACAGTCGCAAGAACCCATACCCACGGAGTGACTAAACTGAGCTGGTGAAGAACCAACTGAGCACCGCACTAGAGACCAAAAGACTAGTAGAAGAGTAAGCAGAGAAATGCCAAATACAAGAGGCTTAACGCACTGAATAGTCGCGCCCAGTTTGAGGGGGGTGACTAGCTTATGATTAGTAAGTAGGAGAGTTCAATCCCACAAAGTGGGCCTCTAGCTCTACTTTTCTGCAGACTAGAGCTGCGAAATTAGCGCATACTCCAGCCCACCTCATTTATTGGCTTGCCCACCGAAAATGCACTTTATCATTCAGTTAGACCTCATTCCCCTTTTCGACAAAAAATTCCTAATGGATTTTTGTGCGAGTAGGCCAAGGCTTTCATCCCCAAAAAGATATGTAGTTCGCAGGAAGGCGGAGTGGCTGGGAGTGCAGCAAGAGCAGATTTTTTACCTATTGTAGCGGTCTCAAAATGACATCATTGTTGGAACGAGGCCGCCCTTTCCATGCTTCCTACCCGCCGCGCCGAACGCCCCAATCGTTTGCCTGGATCAGCACTGCATGTTGCCAATCTCGCCCATTCGCGTCATGACGAGTCGACGCCCATTTCTCTCCATTCAAAGGGCACATTTGTCGGGAGTCCCCGCCCATACGACGTATGGTCATCGCGGAATGCGCCTTTATAACCGCAGTTGTGACAGCACAAAGCCCAACAGGGCACAGCATTCGATGGGGATTTTGGTCGAGCCTGTACGACCCCCCCCTTTTTTGGGGGTTCGGTACGACCCCCCCCTTTTTTGCCGTTCGGTTTTTTTCGCCTTAAATGAAACTATGAAACGCCCACTATGAAATTCTACTTGTATGAAGGTGCCCATACTAAATGGACGACTTGAAGTCATGACATAATAGAACAATACAGAGATGATTGCAAACAAAAAACGGTACAATCGTATTATGAGAAACTCGTATGATGAACTTCTTCGATGGCCGTTTTGAAACACACATGGTAATAATAACAATATATCGCGATTAAATTCAATGAGCATTCGTAACCTGACGTGATACTCGCCCCCCCCGCGCCCGCTCTGGGAGCGGCCATCAGCGAGCCACAGGTAACAACGTCTATTCACAAAATTAGAAGGACAAGGAAAAGAGAGAAAGTTTAGGCTTGTCTCACTACGTAACAGTTATACAAACCGCCGTAAAAATGCATTACCCCGATTATTGGAGTACGGTAGCAGAAGCGCATGTAATTGCGGCTGTGACCGGAGATTATTCGGCAATTTTAGCCATGGAAGGGAGAAGCTTCAGCTGCAGTTAGGTGTCTTTGAAGGGCCATTAACTTACACTCGAAAGCGACCTATGGGGAAGAGGAAGACGGCGTAACTTCGTGTAGAGGAAGGTTTGCACTTCCTAAAAGTACTAAAACGTTTATGAACGTCGCAAAAATCACAGAGAAATCTGCCATAGGGATTCGTTGGGGAGTGGTTTCAACCGAACAGGTTTGAATCAATATATTTTTTTTGTAACTCAACATTTCACAAATCTGACGAATTGGTTTTCGAACGTTTGAAGATTTTCTCTTTCTAAAAACCTCTTGAACTGTTTCTGAAGCTCTCGGGATTCATGAGATCTCGCTATGGGGATTTCTTGAGGAACACTCCCAGCTGCGCGAAAAACCCGTTTCCTGTGTACCGTTTCAAGTGAGCGTGTTCGAATAGCCAGGAACGCATGTAGAACGTATCCTGTGGTGGAGCAGGAGCAGGATATGGTTCGTTTAGCGCCGATCACGCCAACTTTGGATGCGCCGCGCACTGAGGGCCGCGCAGAGGTGATGGGATGGTGCAACTTGTGCGTAATGTCTGTTCACGCGAGCAAATGTGTCTATAAGGTTCAGGGAGGTCCATGGCGAGCCTGTGCACTTGTTTACAGTGTTTTCCGTTGCGTATGATGGAACATGTCCCTGTCGACGCTGCCAGATTCGTGCTCCACCAATCGCTGACTCCGATGTTAAAAAAAATAAAGGAGACCAACTGCTGGAAAACGTCTATACGAACGATATGGTAGTCCTGTCGCTTGTCGAGAAAAAACAGGTTGGCTCAGCGCCAAGCGCGACCGCGGACACGCCCCATCATCCGCAGCGAACGCAGTATGAGTTTGTCAGCCAGTTTAGTCACTTACGAGATGATGTCGACTTATTGATATTTGCAGTTATTTCGGATTAGTTTGATGAATGAAAGTTTTGTACTATTTTTTTGCATATCCGAGTTCTCTACAAAGCAAGTTTCGTTGTACAGGACTCAGCACATTGACAATTTGCGCTGCTCGTTACTGGCTGCCGCACTCACTACGACCCCCCCCTCTCCTGGCGGCCAAATACGACCCCCTGTTGGGATTCCCCAACCAACGATGTGCCCTGAAGCCCAAACGGCACACAATCCGTAGAAGCAACAGTAATTCCAAGTCATTATAACATTTTATCCAGCTAAACAAAATTGAATAATACGGGAAAAGATGATTGTTGATACCGTATCATTAATGAAGAACATATATAGCCTGTCTGCTTTTTCTAGACGCTATAGGTAAAGCAAGTCTCATCAATTTCTTTTTGTTCCTACCCACCATAAAAATTTTCTGCCAAAAAACTGTGAAATTGTCTGAAAACATCGCTATTTTGGAAAACCCAGTGAAAGTTAAAAGAAAATGCATAAAAAGTCCAGGGAAGGCGCTAAAGGTTCGTAAGTATCCACCCGCCGCAATTCCCACTCTGGAATGAGTGCTGAACGAATTTATCTGGTAGGCACATGGGCGTCTCCTACCTCTCTCTTCCCCCACCGCTCCTTCTCAGGTTTCCTGGCTAGCAGACAAGATCCTTTTGTGTTAGCCACGTACAACAATGCTTCACACTCCACCTGCGAAAAAGTATGCAAGGTTACGCTGTAGGTTTGGGCGAATTCCCGGGGGATCGTGGTCGCTGAACGTATTTTGCATACAATTAGCTCCCATCACTAGGATTGCCCTGAACTTGAAGGAGCTTTAAGGAGCTCACTTGGGCGCAATTCCGATGAATTCCCTTTGGCTTTTCTGTTTTCTGCGCCAGCGTCCCACTTAACAACTTTTGCTTCATTCTGATAGCCCTGTACCCGCCCGGATGAACTTATGGTTCTCAAAGGGGACAGATACGTGAATCTTCTAGTACTCGTAGCGTTCTCTTCTAATGGTAAGTAACTTCTTCTAATATTAAAGTAACTGAAAACTCACACATGAACTGTGTGAAACACTCTGGAAGCTTTCCATACCAAATAAATACTACGTAAATGGGCACGGCTGAGAAAAGTATGAGCAATCCAAAAACTGAAACACGTGGAGATACAAGGTGAAGATATAGTTCGGCAGTTCTCACCATATTGATGAACGCTATGCGACAACAAGTTGATAGTAAAACGAATGACACGAACACAAGTCTTGTCACTTTGATTCGATCAAAGGGATCGGTGAAGAACGCGTTTGGCACCGCGCCAATTTCATCGCGCCTGACACCCCTCTTCGTCCGCAGCGAACTAGACATACTCCCTCATCGCGATTACGTGCCCTTTGTGCCCTTTCCATCACCATTTAGAGACAAAAATAACATTTCCTCAGCACTGCTTCACAGTCTTGGGACCCTGACGAAACAATGGCGACAAGCAATTAATACATAAGTGATCAGTAGAATTCCTGACAACCTCGCTCTGGAACAGTGCCGCCGCAGTTCGATGTTTGGGCAAAAAGCTTGATACATGCTATCGCATTTTCGGCTGCCCGCCGCCCGGAGATAAACGCCAGGGCGGTCCGGCTTAGCATTTTTTCAGTCGCGATCCGCTCCCTCGAACGCGCTCGTCGATACGTATCAAAACCGTTTCGCCCAACCGCCAATCGATATGTATCGCTTTGAAGATTTTTCGCCGAAGCGTTTCTTTTTAGGGAAACGCTGGGCCGCAGACTGTGAACAATGCCTCAAAGGCTCAGGCATGAGCACCCCTAAACTTCTCAGTACCTGTATCTCTGGGTGCGCCGTACTACAGATAGGATGACAAGAGCTAGAGAACCAATAGTGAACACAATTGGCACGATAATAGGCACCCTGGAAAAAGCTAACCTTTGTGCTTTCATTTCACTTTCAAAAAAGGCAATATTTATCACACTTTAACAGTAGCAGACAGCCCGGGAACTGAATCGAATCACTTCTGAAACCAGGGCACAGCATTCGATGGGGATTTTGGTCGAGCTTTTACGACCCCCCCCCTTTTTTTCAGGGGCTGGTACGACCCCCCCCCATGCTCGTACGATGGCTGACATGGCTGACTGTGGTTGTGGTTTATACTCGGCGAAAAAGTTGTCGAGCGGGGAGGGGGGAGGTATGATGTAGGTCGCATGCGATGCGACGTACATCGCGTACATAGTACCTATAACACAGAAAATTCATAAAACTCATGAAGTGAACCACGTAACTCCTAGCCAGAATAGCCCCCTAACACACAATAGACCCCCCCCCCTCCAAAACGTCCGCAAAGCGAGAAAAATCAACTATAAAAATAAATTTTTCCCAGCCCAAATACGACCCCCCCTTTTGGCGGCCAAATACGACCCCCCCCCCATAGGGAATCCCCATCGAACGCTGTGCCCTGTCTGATAACGGAAGCCCGTTTCTCCGATGAGACATGCGCGAGCTTCATTCCAGGCTATGCACCTCCGTGAACCGGTCAATCTGCCGTCTGACACTGCGACACCGTTGCGGGGTGCCAGCAATTAGTCGCTTTCGCTGCGCTCGAGGCGTGTTGAGGTGGTAGGGGGGGAGGGTGGAGGGAGGATACGGTTGCGGAACGCCCTTCGTTGTCCACCGAATTGTTTTTTTTCATGCTTAACAACTACATGGAGAAAGACTAACGCCGTGCCAAATTCAGGCTCCATGACACATACAACCGTTGCAGGCGAAAAGCAACTGCACAATTTCCTGTCTGTTTTCCTAATGAGGAACCTAGCAGGATGTAATCCTCGAAAGAAAAGCACTGTTGGCCTGGTTTGGTTCCCACCTGGTGGTTTGATGGTTTGGTACCCGAAACCATCCAACCAGCTGTTATACCGAGCTACATGTGTGGAGCGTACCTTCACAGGTCTACGTGCATTTGGCATCGACCATCGGAACTTAAGCAATGCCATTCCTACAACAGCAATAGCGAGCCAAACAGTGCATTGACTTGCATTAATGAGCGTATAGATATGTCCAGATATTAGCAAATACATAAGAGAAAGGAAACTCTGAAAACAGTTCACTTTTTAGTTGATTTTCAATTCATCTCATCTCTTTGTGTGGCGACGGAATTTGAGGAGATTATATAGAGTAGCTCAGGAATGACTGAGATCCACACTTACAGCCCCTTCCCTCCCCGATTAAACTGTTGTCGAGCGACGGACGGGGAATAGTACTTTCGAAGCGTGTGAAATCGAGGAAGTTCACAACCAAAAATCCTTTTCAAGAGCTCTTACAACCCTCTCCCCCACCCCTCATCCTCCCTCTGGCGACCAAAGCGACTCACTATCTTTGGATCCTGAACCTACTACGAGCTGTGCCGCGTAGTTCTTACGGAAGATGATCAATATAAGGGCTTCAACTCGTTCGCAAGACAACATAGGATCTCCTCTCGAATGGTGCTTTTCAGAGTCACTAGCGCTGTTGGACTTAGGAGGGGTGAGGCTTTCCTAAGTTTGCAGATTTCTATTACAAGTTCCAGTCATCTTACATGTCTCACGACGGTGAGACTCGTCGATTGTTTTCAAGTGTAAACACTGCTTGCGCTAGTGCAGAGCCTCGGAAGGCCTTGTAAAGCCGCAGGCCTTGTAGCCCCGAGAGTTTACAGATTTCCACGGGAAGCGTCAGCAGGGACCAACAGGAACCATCAAAACGCCCCACCAAGCGCGGAACATTATCGAGCCGTAAAGACAGACCTTAGAAACTAGCATAACTATCATGAATAACTTACAGTGAAAACCACTGACGGTATGGGTGTTCGAAGTTTTTTGTTGATCATCGTCAATATCACAGGCATATGACCTTCACGAGCACCACAGAAAAATAGCCTACAAAGCATTAAGTCTCTTAGATAGCTCCAGCCAAGTGCCTAGACTCTCACTCTGCCTCCAGTGCATACTGAAGTTAGAGTAGCGCCCACTCGTCAGCGCCATCAAGACACTACACTCTGCTGCACATTAATCTCAAAACACGGCGGCTAACTCTAATACAGGGGAGTGGGGCAAAAAAGTCATTCCGGCCGAGTCACATATGAGCGAAGTTTTCGCAGCCCAGACAGAGGAAGTGGGTATGAGTACCAGGGCGGAAGATACCCAAGATCTTCCTCTATAAGCAGGAGCCGGCTGCCGCCATTCACCTTCATGTACACCAAAATATGAAGTCATCTCCAGTCGCGGCCTGAGTGGAGAACGCCTTTGGAATTCACGTGGCCTCCAAACAGCTGCGGAACTTCTTGAATGGAATCACCCATGGATAGCTACCTGGAGACTAGTACTCTCAATTTGGAAGACCTCCAACATCGAGCAGCTCCGGCAACGTCGCTACGGTCCAGGACGTCATCTTTCACCCCATTCACTCAGGCGGCGGGTGATGGTGTGGACCGGCCGTACCTGGAATGGGAAGACCGATATTTTCTTTGTAGACCCCGACTGAAGGTGAGCGCTGGCGGTTACATCAAGTAACTCGAGAAGGATATCCTCCCTACATGTGGTCGCCCATACCTTCTTGGAGACCTTGTGCTGCTACAGGTTTGGGTGCCACCACATGGAATCGAAGGGTTTTGGAAAAACTCCCGCCTACTTCGAATGGAAGGGCGTTTCGTACCTGATGAAGATGTAATATTGAAATATGTCCCCTGACCTGAACCCACTCAATTACCTAGTTCGGGCGGAGCTCAACAGGGTGGTCTACAGTGGCGGAGAAATCAACGATCTCGCTCAACTCGGTACCCACTCACTTTCGCGCGGCCGAATCTCTCGATGGCGCTCCTCCAGAAGGCTGTGGCGGAGTATCATTATAGTATTTAATGTGCTCTTTAATATGGTAGTAAAAATGTCCGATAAAAATTTAATAAAGTGTAACTTATAGCGCCTTGAAAGTCATGGAGGCAAAATGACTTCAGGACATGCCGCGGCGTGTCATGACGTCTAATTACACTTCGGTGCTAGAAGAAACTAATGCAAGTTGGGCGATAGGATTTTTTGCCCTGATATGCGGGAAAAGGAGCTCTGATGCGGAAGAACCAGTTCTTATGCGTAAGCGAGTCCGCCTGGAAGTAGGGACGGTAGTCTGGAGCAGTACTACTGCACAGCAGTTCTTCTACAAAAAAAAAAGCCGTAACTGCTTAGGGCCCGCCATCGCCACCCATTTTTTGCTCTCATGAGTGTGGCCCGATGGGTGGCATGCTCTTCTTATGCGCTAGTGCTGAAGTTCCCACGGTGACTATGGGCTTACCCGTCGCGGCATGTACTAACATTACAGTAGTGACCTGCAAACCTGTAGGGAGCGTTCAGACTTCGCGACGGCAGCGCTTCGGTCGCGCGTTCGGCGCGATCGATGCAGTCGAAAGCATGCGCATTGATCGCGCGAACGCGCTATACCGAAGCGCTGCCGTCGCGAAGTCTAAACGCTGCCATACTGGACCGCCTCCACGAGAGGACCAGACATGCATACCTTGAGCTGTTCATAATCGTGCCGTTCACCGATCCAAAAGTTGAAATGGCGACGAAAATTGGCATCAGGAAAGCGAGCCTTCCGAATTCTTTCTGAGCGAACAACTGGAAACAGTGCTTCGATTTATTCATGATCCTCGTCGTACGAACGGCGAGCTCGACCATCGCGAGCACGACCAACGCGAGCGTGCAAAACTTACCACTGCCACTGCAGGACTGATGAGCATTTCGTCGGGAGAAATTACGGTATACAGAGCTATATTGAATAGAGTGTAGACCACCGTACATATTCCCATTGAGATCAAAATTGCAAGGGGCAGGTTTCTGAACAGTAAACAAAACCATATCGGCTGAACCAATTCGTGAGTTCCAATTCTTATGCAAGTAGTCTGGTCCACAGTCCCTACGTCACACTTTCACACCCTCACAGTAAGAAATATAAGCAGTGGGCCTACTCAGCCAGGAGTTCTGACGCCTCCCTAGTTGCCCGCCCATTAGGACCCTCCCTAGAGAACCACTTAGAAACTGCAGGTTTGTAATCGAACGTCACTATCCGATATGCGATGTCAGAATTTGTTTTCAAGTAGTAAGCTTACCGTTCTGGATTAATTAGCTCTTCGGTGATGAAATTCAGCCATGCCCATCCTTGAAAGGAGAAAAGTCCCGAATAGAATCCAACGGCTGGTTGGGAAATATGACGGAAATTGCCCTCGAAAAGGTGGTCGAATGAATCTCTGTACTGAGGGCCACCTGAAACGCGGAACTCTCGTTTTTATTTCGTGACAGCACACACCCTGATTTAAAAGCTGCAATTACTGAACGGGGAGTAATGTTTTGAAACAGGGTGGTGGCACTGTGTTGGCAAGTGACGTCGCCTATCACGGCACCCCCCAGCAATCAGATCCTGCATGAGCACCCTCTTGAAACAGCCAAGTCTCCAGGTCCAGGTCGGTCAACTGGCTAAAGACCCTGGGAGGAAAAAAAAACGCTGAATCGTATGTCGATTGCCCACGCAGGTTATTGCGTAGCATCTATAAGCGAAAACCAATGGCGATTTTCAATCAGTGGAGCGGGTGGTACACGAGCAGCAGACGACGAGTCCTCTAACAAATTTCCAGTGGTCTGGCCGGCCATATCCCCTGTCGCAGATACTGAACCGCTTGCGGATGCGTCTTTTAGTATTTAAGTGCAATAGTTTGGGTTAGACTGCACTGATAACGCATTGATCAGGAGTATGGAAGAGCTGCGAAAGCTAGGGAACTGGATGCGGGGCCGTATTTGGTCGCTGGAGAGAGGGGGTCTATTTCTGAAATTCCAAAAAGAACAACTATCATGCTTAATAGTCTGCCGGAGGTGTCTACCACTCCCTACTACCAGCTCGACGGCAAACTTTCGAATTTAAAGACACATAGTACGCTCACACACACATTGAGGGTGTATGAGACTATCAGCCCCTCAGCTGACGATGTGTTCGTGGTCCCCCCGCCCAAACATGCCCAGGAATGGAGATATGAAACACGCTAACTCTTCCATGCTCCGCCTTACACCTTTTGCGGCGCAGATTCCCGTCCTTCATAACATCCGTTGCAAGCGCGCGTGTCGCGTGCGGCTCCTTGGCACTTTGCCAAGTCCTTTAATTGCGCTTTCAATACAAGTAAAACGCTAAAACGCAATTTCCTGATGCGGATAACATTGGAGGTGCTACAAAATAAGAACAGAAGATGATGACAAGGGCCAGAACTCAAGAGCAACTCGGCTGCATCCGCAGAATCCATCAGAGGCCGCGCATTCCCAGAAACATGAAAATAAAACGGCATACTCGTTAGTTTGATACAAGCAAAACGCAATTTCCTGATGCGAATAAAATTTTAGGTGTTGCTCATACTTCAAAATCCATGTACAAGGAGATGAAGATGACACAGGCTAGAAATGAAGCACAACGATGTAAATGTAAAATTAAACAAAAAATGAAAAAAATCAAGGAAAGGCAAATTAGTTAAAATCGCCTGTAAATTTCTACGATCCGGCGCGAATCCGGCGCCAAAGCCATAGAAATACTTAGAATAAACGAGTGGGACGCTTGGATTGTTTTTATTCTCATGTTTTCTGGGAATGCGCGGCCTCTGATGGATTCTGCGGATGCAGCCGAGTTGCTCTTGAGTTCTGGCCCTTGTCATCTTCTGTTCTTATTTTGTAGCACCTCCAATGTTATCCGCATCAGGAAATTGCGTTTTACTCGTATTTGAGAGCGCAATTAAAGGACTTGGCAAAGTGCCAAGGAGCCGCACGCGACACGCGCGCTTGCAACGGATGTTATGAAGACGGGAATCTGCGCCGCAAAAGGTGTAAGGCGGAGCATGGAGGAACTAGCGTGTTTCACGGCCCTGTATCTCCATTCCTGGGCATGTTTGGGCGGGGGGACCACGACACATCGACAGCTGGGGGCTGATAGTCTCATACACCCTCAATGTGTTTGAACGTACCATGTGTCTTTAAGGTGATTGGACCGATGTGCAGGAGAGTTTCTCTGCAAACTCAGGGCAAACTTAGGGGACATTCTGGGCTGGGCTCTGGTGAACCCAGCCCAGAATGTCCCCTACATTGTACTACACGCGATATCTAACGCCGTTGACGCGGACTCACCTCCACTTGGTGATCTCGAATCAAAATCCCACGTGCTTTGAGATCCCATACTTTCACTGTGCGAGACTGCTGACTCATAGTTAGATAAGACTTGATCCTAGACCTAGCGGGGTTGTGGGCTGATACTACTCAGAAATGCCCCTCCCCTTTAGTTTGAAATGCTCGAATGACTTCAAAACTACATGCTCCTTACCAAATATTAAAAGGTATCCACCGGTAAATATAACGGCCACTAGTGCAAACACTTTTCCATAGGTGAACCAGTCTTGAACTACCGTTGTCACTTTTACCGACCAACAGTTCACTCCAGTCAGGATCACTGCGAAGAATACGTTAGAACGTCAAAAATAGAATGTGGGACCGACAAAGCCACATTCAACTGTGATCCCATCAGCGGAGTTAGGCCATCATTGTGCCCTCCTCATTGGCAAGCCCACACTCACAATTCCAGAGCGCGCCAGAGAAGAAGCCGCGATGCTACATCTGACTCCGCCCACATCATCAGTGTGGAATGTGCCTTCAAGCTGCTTCTTACGTATCATAGATGCCGCGAGAAGTTGAACAGTTAATTTTGGTGGTTCACAGTCGGGATATATTGGACGTAGTAAATATACTGAAAAGGTCAATCCCATAACAGTGATAGCGCACTGGCCTGAAAGAATAGGCATCAATCGTTATTTCACTAACAAGGGAGGTCGTTCAGGGCGTGGTGAGCTTTTTCAAAATGGTCTTGTGCATATTGTAGGGGCACATACGAGGACCAGAAAACTGAGGTTCATTTTCGCTGCGCGCTTCTACGAATAAAAAAAAACGTAAAAAATAGGTCGATGGTTCGGATCCCACCGAGGACAAAATTTTGCTTTTCTACAATTTTTCATTTTTTGGATCCATGTTTGTCTAGATAATTGGTCCTAACGAAAACATTCACGATAAACTGAACAATCCTACTTTTATGTAGCAAAACTGTTTTTTCGTTCGAATTCGTTAGTATGCACAGACTCAGCTCTTCGGCGCTATGCCGGTGCCAGATGGCACTGAAACCGAAAATAAAGTCTAGAATCGTGATCAGGCACTGTCAATTACCCCTAGGAGCAAGTTTTGAGCGAAAAAATTTTTTTGACTTTTTCGGGTCGTAGGTGACCGACCATTTGGTCGGCAGTGTGAGCGAGTCTCTCATCTTCGTAACAGCGATGACGTATTTGACGCTCGGACAGCCCGTGACCCAAGAAGGTTAAAACAATTGTTTTGACCGAAAATTCGTTTTTAGTGGTAATCAGTGGCCCTTGTCACAAATATAACACCTATTCTTGGCGTCCACGCACTTTAACGACAGAATAGCGGTGAACGTTCCCTATACAGGGGGGCCAAAAAAAAGTCATTCCGGCCGAGTCACATATGAGCGAAGTTTTCGCAGCCCAGACAGAGGAAGTGGATATGAGTACCAGGGCAAGATACCCAAGATCTTCCTCTATAAGCAGGAGCCGGCTGCCGCCATTCACCTTCATGTACACCAAAATATGAAGTCATCTCCAGTCGCGGCCTGAGTGGAGAACGCCTTTGGAATTCACGTGGCCTCCAAACAGCTGCGGAACTTCTTGAATGGAATCACCCATGGATAGCTACCTGGAGACCAGGTACTCTTGATCTGCAAGACCTCAAACATCGAGCAGCTCCGGCAACGTCGCTACGGTCCAGGACATCATCTTCACCCCATTCACCAAGGCGCGGGTTGATGGTATGGACCGGCCGTACATGGAATGAATGAACCGATATTTTCTTCGTGGACCCCGGGCTGAAGCTGAGCGCTGGCGGTTACATCGACCAACTCAAGAAGAATATCTTCCCCACATGTCGTCGCCCGTACCTTCTTGGAAACTTTGTACTGCTACAGCATTTGGTGCCACCACGTGGAATCGAAGGGCGTTGGAAAAACTTTCGCCTACTTGGAATGGAAGAACGTTGAGTACCTGGAAAAGATGGAGTATTTAAGCGGGGGTCCTGAACTAAACCCCCTCAATTACTCGGTTCGGGCGGAGCTCAACAGGGTGGTCTACAGTGGCGGAGAAATCAACGATCTCGCTCAACTCCGGTACCCACTCACACTTTGCGGCCGAATCTCTCGATGGCGCTCCTCCAGAAGGCTGTGGCGGAGTATCATTATAGTATTTAATGTGCTCTTTAATATGGTAGTAAAAATGTCCGATAAAAATTTAATAAAGTGTAACTTATAGCGCCTTGAAAGTCATGGAGGCAAAATGACTTTTTTTTTGGCCCCCCTGTATTGGTTTACATAACGAATTCATTGGAAAGAAGATGTGGCCCCAAATTGTCTATAATGCACCACACCAGAATTACTAAATTCGCAATCAGATCCACTGTATAGCCTATGAGGATCAACGTCCAGCAACAATCTTGTTCAATGGTGCGTGAAAATCGAAATAGTTGAATAGCACTGACTCATGAGGTACAGCTACTCAGAATGTGCCCATGGCAAATGCAAATATCCGAGTTATATTCATGCGCAGACACAAATGGAAGCGAGAACAGCGAAATCTAAAAAATGCAAAAAGCCGCGACGCAAGGGGAGCCGAACCATCGACCCCACCCTCACTGTCCCGATTGCGGGAACCTCCACTCTATCCGCTAGGGCCATACCGACGCTTCGAAGCTAATGCGCAGCGGCGTCATATCGCTGATGAAAACATTGCAAGAAGGCCGTTCACCCTTGAGCACATGACCCAAGTTGGAAGCTCAATTACGGCGATTTTTCGCTTCGATTCAAACGGCCCCTTTATAAGGACCCCCCACTCAGCAACTGGTCAAAGTTGCAAGTGACCTACGCCGCATAGAGGCCCAGAACGAAGCAGATTCCACAGATTTCTTTTCACTCGTTTTTTACCTTTCCTGGAAGCGCGCAGCGAAAATGAAGCACACTTTTCAGGTCCTTGCATGAGCCCCTACAATATGCAAACCGTTTTCGAAAAGCGCACCACGCCCTGAACGACTCTTGTTAGTTTCACTGTACATGGGTGAATCCGGTCAGGAAATCCATGTATCCACGCTGCCGCACTGTGCCTTGAAAGTGGTGTCAAATGCACTGCACATCCACAGGACCCAGCAGCCCGGGACTAACTGAACGGGCTAGACGTGAAAACGCTGACACTATGCCGAATCAGCTTGCTAGCAACAATTATGGTGGTTAATGGCCGTCACCGCATAAGGATCTCCCGATCAACATCCGCTACAAAGACCACGTTTACGAGGTTCCCCCAGAGGTCATTGAAGCTCGTAGAGACCATCTTGTGAAGATTGTAAATTCTGTAGGCAAGCGCCTCAACCGTAACCATTGCGCAATTACGAAAATTTTACAAGTGCCACCGAGGTGAGGCTGGCTATTTAATATGAGCTATCAAAAGCAGCGCTAGCAAAACAGAAGAGCACCTCCACCCCCCAGCCAAAGACCGCCCAACAGGTTCATGCGATCTCATACTTTTCACTCTTCGGCAGGGTAATGTCTCCCGCAATCTAACCACACAGCACCTGTGCAGTTTCGTGTGTGCAAGACGAAAATAGGATGTCTAGACTGAGGCAAACCCGCCCAGCGAACTTCGTTTCAGTCCAGAGGAGCTCAGATCGCTAACGGACAGACCACGACATCATGGAGGTGTTCACATATTGTCACAGCTCTTCGCCAGGAAACCCGCAGAATTTGTCGTAAAGGGGAGCAATTGGGTGGGTTATTTCACGGCCGGCCCTTCCTTGGGCAGAAGTTCCTCTACAAGCCAACCTGACAACAATGCTTTCAATCCAGAGACGAAGAAATGCGACAAAAGGTCCGAAGGCGTCCATCAAATACGCGTAATCGCCGACCAGATTTTGTTATCATCGTTCCTAACTCTGCATTAACAATATGCTCCAATTGTACACACCAAACTCCACATAAAATCCAAATGATTATAGATGATCCCACAGAACCAGCTCCTGGAACATTTCTGAAATGATTCTGCATTTTGGGTCTAAGAGTCCTGAAGATATCGTGCACTAGGAATCGTGCATTTGTTCGTTGGCATGTCTTCACTTAAAAAATTGAAGGAGGCGTTTAGCGAAATTGTATGGCAAAAGTAAACGTACACTCATGAGCTGGCATGTGAATTTGGATCAACAAGTGAATACAATCGCTAACTTGGATTAACAAGTAGAGTTTTGGTTTGTTCCCTACAAGGCGCCATTTGCAGCCTTGGTGCGGGCCTATTCCAATTCAATTTTTCTGCGCTAAATTTTAAGCGTGCTCCACAGTTTTGCTCATACTGAGAATCTATGTGGACGGGAAATTATGTTGCCGCCATTGATCCCCTTAGTTCCCTTTAGGTCATGCAGCTTTAGGGTCGCCAGATTGAGGACAGCAGACAGCCAATATTCCCGCGGTCGACCCCTTGATTTCCTGTACTTCATCATCCATATAAGCTTTAGGTCGGCCATGATGAAGAGAGCAGAGAGACTGAGATTGAGAACGTAGCTTGAAAAGACATTCCGCACTCGGATGGGCGGAGACTCATAACCGTTGCATTTTCCTCAACGGAAAGCCGCAACCATACTCCACCCGGCCCTACAAGTGAGAGCGCACCAATCAGGAAGCCACGATGGTTGTGAGTCTCCGCTCATCTGATTACCACGGAATTTACATTAAATGCATCGTCGTAATTCAAATATTATAATTACCTTCTTGAACTCCTGTAGGACTTACGAATATTCCCGATCCAATAATACAACCAACGATCATTGTCACACCATTTGTCAACGTCAATGATCGCGCTAAACCCTTTTCTGGTCCTGAATGAAGCCATAAAAAGATTATCTGAAGGAGTGGGCACTATTTACCATTTACTGCCCTCTCTTCGAACTGAGGCCAGATTTTGACTTGATTTTTACCAGGAAATAAAGCAGCTGGAATTTCTTCCCGTTTGGCTTACCTGACACCCTGATCGCGACGCACACATCCGCTTGCTTGCGTCTCTCTTGGCACAATAGTGGTCACCAAAATGCTCACCTACACGCTCGGTGCTGAAAACTTGTCCCAAGGGTGTTTTGCCACTCCTACGGATGCTAATGGCAGCATGCTTTGCGCAAAACACTTGTACCTGCGCTACGGGGCCGTACGCCCAACTGGCCTAGTGAAGGCCGACGTAGGCGTCTTCACTCAAACAACATGCAAAGATCGTGCGTTCTGTGTCAGATTACCCCTAGAAGCGATGTTTTGGCCAACTCTACAGGAAAATCTCGATCTAACCATGATCCGAATTTCGAAAGGAAGTGAAAGAGGCAATAGTGCTTAGGGGTGCACTCCAGTGCACTGGATATCTTCGGAAGGGGGAAAACCTATGACGGTGATCACGAAAGTCAGTCGATTCTGCACAACTGGACACACCGTTCCCGATGTCGAATGTCGAATTTTGTACCCACAAGCGTGTGGTAAGACAACTGTAATATGCCGCGCTGGTGGGCGTAACGGACGTCGCCGCACCCGACAGACGAGTTGTCCTGCCTGGCCGTTGAATTTCCGAAAGAGAAATAGGAACATTCGTCATTGCATATCACTTTCACTCCGTTTAAGACTCATAGGAGTTTCCGGTGCTCAACGACAAACCTGGTTCGCATTGAAACACTGCCTGCGCCATATGCCGCGGCAGGTATGCGCCGCGTCGCGGCGAACGGGACTAATTAGGGGTGTCACGTCGCCGCGCGCGGCAATCGCGGTTTTTCGCGTCGCCACGCGCGGCAAATTACGATTCCACGTCTCGTCTCCGTCCTCACAGGTCTCATAGGCTTTTAAGGGTAGTGGCAACAGAATCGTAGTTCGCCGCCTCAGTGGGCGTCGCGTGCGACGTCGTTGGCCGCGCTTAAGTGAAGAACTAACTTTTATTTTAAGGTGGTTAATTGTAGATAATAGACAATGTATGAGCAAAAATAGCCATAAATGTCTGCCATGCCCTTGTCTACATGAAATATGATGCTCCAGTCGAAAAGGTAGTGCGAATCAAGGAAACGTCGCGTCCATTGCCGCGCGCGACGAAGCGACCGATTCTCTTGCCCTTCTCCTGGCTTTCAAAGCATATTCACAAAAAAAACAAAAACTGACCTCGTCTTCGCCCAGCAAAGCAGCTTCTTCCGCAGATTTCGATGGCGCTTCTCCTTCATCACCCTCATCTGGACTTCCTTCCTCCTCGTCTCCCTTACGGAGTTGATCGCCAGACGATGGGCTACCGAGTGAGCCTTGCTTCGAACGGCGTCTTTTCGTTCACCTTCCGCTGCTTTTGCTGCTTTATTGGCACTTTCTGCTGCCTTCGATGCTTTATGGTCATCGAGGGTCTTCGTAGAGCCTTGAGTGGTGGCATTGTACGTGTCTGAAGGACTTGACATCTGAAACGATCCTGAGTTTCATCGGAACCAATCAGAAACATGTGCGAAGACTGTTGGGTGGGCGATGTGCGGGAACAGCGTCAGTGGAGCTTCTCCTCCTCCCGGGCGGTGAAGCAGAAAATGAGTGCGCGCCACTGACATTGTTTCCTGGTCCTGCCCATCCAACGATCTCGAAGGGTGTCTTAGAGCTTGCTAGTCGAAATCAAGATCACTTTGCTGGAAGGAATCCGATGATCAACTGCAAACAGCTGTGATGATACCGACCTTCTCATATCATTGTTTTCGTAGATATCCTAGAAGCACTGAAAGCAATGATATGCCAAACTCTCTTAACTAGTTGACGGCCGGTTTTACATCATGCTGAATCGTGTCAAATAAGCGTGTCAGGACATCCATCGCGATGTCTCCCTCCTCCTTCATTTTTCATCCTCCTTTCTTCCCTTCTCTTTCTCTCTGTTTCTGTATTGCTCATTCTTGCTCCTCCAATGCTCGCCAGAAAGATGCAAGAAGAAAATGGCTGACTCTCCTAGCGAGGCAATATTTACTTGACAGATGTCCAGTAGCCCCAGATGAGTCGCCTATTCCTCTTTATTTCGAACTGTTGCGCTAAAGCGAGTGTTTGCTCTCAGACCTACGTACATTAACAACTCTCATACTCCCTAGTTAGTTGACTCGACTACCGTGGCACTTAAAAATTAAGTTAGTCGCGCAGTTCCTAGTGTTGGTGGTGCCGCTTTCGCAGCGCCACCAACACAGGAACTCCCAACTGATAACTCGCTAAAGCTCGTTCATGCGGCACAAGCGTCGTGAGTCATCA